ACTGGTTGATGGGTGAAAGGGGAAATCAGAAGGGCAAAGTGCCTATTACTTATTTAGAACTGCTAAACTAAATGGTTGGCCTATATAAAGACTGTCAGTTATGGCGACATCCTATTTATGTACAATTAACTTTATATAAGCAGGTTTAAGTGTCTTCCATATTATTGTCTTAAGGGACGAATACCAGCCATCAGAAACTGGCTTTTCTGCCAACGTTGTTGCATGGTAAATACTCTATTCAGATTTAATTTGTGTTTAAAGGTTTTACTTCATGTGCCAAGAATGTGTTTCCTACAGAATTGTTTCTACTGAAGTTTTCACTAATACAAGCTTATACTTTTGAGTAATCTAGATTGAAAGCAGGAGGTACTGTTTTCTACTGAATTTTTCATTAATGGCAAGCTTCTTTCTTCACATAAAATAAACTTATTGTGAATTGATGGCAGTTTGATTTCAGTTATTTGTTCAGTAGTCAATAGCCATAACCAGGTCAAATATAAAACTACTTTGTAAAATGGCTTTAGTTATTCAAGATGGTATGTAGAATGCAAACATACTGATTTACATGGTTAGAAGTGGAGTGGTATAGGCATTGAAGAACTTCAAAAAAGAAGAAAAAAGTTGTGACTTAAGGTGTTAAGGTACAGCTTAAAAGTTTTGTACTTCTATTTAATGCATGGTTGGATTGAATTGTTCTTTTTCAGTCATTAGTTTTCATCATGACCTAAATCATCAAGGGTAAACCTTATTTAATACTAAATTTGCTTTGAATTTGTACTTTTTCAGCTATTTTAACAAGGGAAGTTTTATTCTCAGTGGCTGCTAACTAATAAAGATGGTTGAATTGCAAATATACATAGTCTTTACTGAATTTAGTACCTTATGTTTGCTAACTGGAAAGCTGTACTATGACAGTACATTAAGGTCATGAACAGATGCAGTAGTATACATGTTTAGCCTGAAGTCGGCCCCCTCTCTCTTGCTGTCCTTGCATTTCCAAGACCAGGGTGATCCCAGGCTAGGATAGGTGAATGGACCAGCACCTACTCCGTTAATCCTGCTCCCTGTGGAGAGGAGCAGCAGGGAAAGGCTCCCTACATCTGCCACAGACTGGGGTCTGGAGAATGGGGCAAGCAGCACTCATCTAGGAGTGCAGCAAAAGGAGAACTGGGGCAAAAGCTCTCAACTCCTATCCCAAGCCCAGGCAGTGTATGGTTTGGAGAAGTGGCAGGGAAGGTGGCTGGACTGGTCCAAGAGGGGAGCAGAGCAGCAAAGCACTGCCCCCAGCCCCTTCCCCAAGCCAGGTGCTGCCTGGCCTGGGGAAGAAGCAGGGAGCAGCATATGCTCTTGGAGGGGGGAAGGAGCAGTGCATGAACATCTGCACACTTGTGGGTGCTACCAGGAGAATCTCCATTCTCCCAGTAGAAACTGAATGTCTATACATAGCCTCAGTAGAGTTTAAGTAGTTTTAACATGCATTTATTCAGATACTAAATATTTTTCATGTTTAAAAATAACTTTTTATTGGATTAACACTATCGCATACTTGTATTTAGGCAAAAGAAGTATTATCTGTAGCTGGCAAACAGAATTGTTTCAGAGTCACCATATTGTTCAAGGTTTTAGAGCTAATAGATCTAATTTTGCCTGTAGAGTGCATGTGTTTGCATATGCATGCTCTTCTAATCCGTGATGGGGAGGAGCTTTTCTGTGTTTTTTACTGTCAGTCAATTTCTTAACTTTGAATTTAGTATTTCATTTTTTGCTAACAATTTAACTGAACAAATTGAGTAAACTGAAATGAAAAGTGTTCTCTACCCCTGCAAGAGCTGTTGATGTTTCCAAGCTGTGTTTGTTCTTGACATTGGTGCTGAGTGACTTCTATCAGCTTAGTTGGATTTTTTTGTGTAAAATTTTGGCAGCAAAAGTATCTCTTATTAGTGTTGAATAACATATGGTCTTATCTATTAAAACTGTCCCTTTTTCTTAAAGAAACATTTCTTAGTTTAAAAATAAGTCTGCTAGAAGCAATTCTTTCTCCTCCCACCCAAGTGCTGATGATGTATTAAAAGCAAACATAAGAACCAAACCAAGATTTCAGACTGGACTGCTGTGACTTATGTAAGGAAATGAAATGCCAAACAGCATTATTTACACATGTGAGCACACACGCACACCCCCCACCTAAGTAGAAAGCCATAGTACTAAAAAATGATTTGACCAATAACTTCTGCTGATAATGCTGACCTTTTCACCCCTTCCCCTGGCCAGTTCCATTTGTCTCAGCATAACCAGGAGACATTTGTATCAGAAATGGTCTTAAGTTCAAGGCTATGTAGACAACAAAGCTGTACAGTTCACTCATTCATGCAAGTATTAAATGCTCAAGAATATGGACTCCAAACTAAGCAAAAGGGTTTAACTGACATTTCAATAACACAGGCCTTTTACTTATTGCTGGGGTTCATTGCTGTAGAGCAGCCTTGATCATAAAAAGGATAACAGTGATTGTTTTAGTTGAAACCTCATTCATTAAATACTGCAAGTATATGAAAATACTAATCTGCCCAGAGGCAGCAGGACCTATTCCTAAGATGTCAAGGAGACCCAGAATTTGCTATGTGTTTGAAGACCTTCTCCTTGTCTGCTAAGATTGTGATGAGCTAGTATAAATCTTTAGTCAAACAGTTCTTGATCTTTTTATGAAAACAGGTAGAAAAGGAGAGAGATTCAGTTTTGCTAGGTGACAAGTCTTCTTGCTGGTACTCTACCAAGCTGCAATAACTTCTATATTGCTAAAGGAAAATTGTTGCAATCTATTTGGAGAGGAAAGTTGGAAGGAATACAGGTATAGATGCTGGTGATGAGATGAAAAAAAATAATTATTAGTATTTCTTATTGGTATTGAATCTTAATAATTGAACTTCTGAACAGTATCAGAAAAAAACTGAATTATTTCAGGCTTGCTGGAGTACCTTTTATTTTAGTTCAGAGATACCTACTTTTTGATAGCAAGCTAAGAGTGTAGCTCCAAATTCCCTGTAATATAGGGACATGTACATTTAGGGATAAGTACTTTTTGCATACTGCCTTCTTGTGTAAACATAGACAGTTCCTCCTCTGACTCTTCCAGTACAGAGCAGTGCAATACTTACTGGCCTATAGCACAGTTACTCTCTGATTGTAATGCTGTCGGTTAGGACTATATCAAGCAATTTAGTCATCTCTATATTCTGCAGGAAATGAAACTCAAGTTACCTAGTATCAAAACATGCTGAAGCAGATAGAATATGTGTGGTTTTTTTCCTTGCATTTAAGAAAAGTTCTAAGACAACTAACAGTAATAATTTAACAAAAATAGTTACTATTTTTTACTGCCTGGTTAGGTTTCAGACTTAACCCCTAGTGCTCCCTACCTGAACCACTTGTCTCTGTAAGTTGGCAGATTTTTACAACACTTATGGTTGACATGCCTGGCCACTTTCTCCCTCCACTCCCAATTATTAAAATGCAGAATTAAAGTGCTGGAGCACAAATTTCTTATGAAATAGATTACATGGAAAGTTCTTGACAGACAAAATCACGGTTATATCAAGTCTATTGTGGACTATTATGCAAAGCAGGAAATAATGTAGAGGTGAGACCATGTATCCCATCTCCTTTATAAAATGGCAGAAATGTTTGCTTCCTCTCCTAGTATGCTGAAGCTGTAGGGCCTACAGTGTAGGCAGTGGCACCTGCAGCTGCTGTCAAAATGTTTGAGTGCATCCACACACTAGTTTTGGGACAGTCTTCAGAGAGAATCCACATGAAGTCACTGGCTTTTGGTGTCTGCAGTTGGTGTTTTGAACTGGTTAACAGATGCAAGACTATGCAACTCCCTAGGAAACTTCTGTGCACTAGCTTAAGAAAACTCTGGAATAAATTGTGTGCAAGAAATTTGTGTTTGTGCCTAATTCTAGATGAGCAGAACTGAGTGCACACATCTGGTGTGCACTACCATCTGCTGCCAACTCCTTAGGACCATGACCTAAAGTTACAGCAACCAAAAGTACCGTCACCTGGCTAGACAGGTGCCAGACTGTGTTCCCTTGTTGGCTGAAGCCTTTATAAGAAAGGAAACTAGCAATAGTGCTGGCAAGGGTTGGTGGGAAATGGGGAGAAAGCTCTGTATATATTAAATAGTAAGATTTATTGCTGCCTTTCCTTTAATTTAGTGAGAGCAATATGCATTTAGTGAGTTCTAAAGCTCCCTGTTAGCTGATTTGAAAGAAGAAATTATGAGGCTCAAATAAAGGAGCTGATAGCTAGGGGAAGATGAGATGGGAGGAAATGTATTACAACATATGCCTGTTTGTCCATATTTAATATGTACCTCACTGCCCTCAACTTGGTTCTTCTCTCAGGATCACATGGCAGAGACTCCAGGTATATAAAAGAAGACTAAACCAGAAAGCAAGGAAAATGGGGTGTAGTTTATAGTCATGTGAGAATTATTTTCAAATACAAGGGCAGATGTACAATACTTGCACCTGTGTAAATCCCTGCAGATTTTAGCTATTGCTATGCTTTAATCCAGAGCTATCCCCCCTCTTTTTGGAAAAAGCAACTCTTAATTAAGATGTCTGGTAGGGGGCCAGTTACATGAGTCCGATAAATATCCTTTGTCTCCCTCCTTAATAGCTTTGCAACTACTTTGTTAGGGCATCTCCATTAAACACCCATTGCTGATTTTTGTTGTTAGTGTCTCATGAAAGCACTTTCCACTACTATTTTCCTCAGCAATGCCACAGGATAGATAATTCATTCACATCAGAAACAATACACATAACTGGTTTTAGCAAAAGGTGGCAGCTCCAACAATTAACTCTCTTCCTTTTGTTCCCCTCTGGGCTGTAGACTCACAGTGGCACAAGCAGTACAGTGAAATTCATTATCTCTTTTGAGGACTGGATGCTAATAAAACGTTCCTGCTGCTTTTAATAGATTTCTGGCTGGTGTTCTGTTTATTTTTCTGCAGAATCTAGCAGAATGATGTGATACTGCAGCCTCTTTATTCTTCCTTGCATAGGTCTCAGAAGTCTAAGATCCTACTATTCTTAAGGGCTACATGTGGATTCTTACTCAGGCTTGTCTTGCCACCTGTTTTATTCAGTGGCACCCTAGGCCCTTGCAGATATGGACTGAGCTAAAGTGTTAGCAGAGCCCTCATACTTGGCTCTTTCACAGAATTAAGGATCTGTGGTATTGTCTTTTTTCCACTATTTAGTATAGACAAGGAATGTGGTTTGACTTGTTCCAGGTCAGGTCACATTAATTAGGTTTGGTACAAGAAAGTATTTGGAGGAATGGAGAAAGTGTGTTATCACCCCTCTAATGGGGAGATGTCATTTACTTGTCAAGACAGTTTTGAGCAGTCGAGCTAGACTGAATGCATTGC